GTATTAACACGTTGAATGCCACGGGGGTCACCGGTGACCGGCACTTAACTTGGCGGTGACGTCATGGGGGCCACCGGTGACCGGCACACCCAAATTGATAGAAATATATATAATTTCAAACAAATGTCAATATCTAAAATTTTGTATTATTATCATCGTCGATTCAAACAGTGACCCCTGTCGCAATTAACTCGTCAAACATGGTTATACACTGTAACTTATCTATTGCAGATAATATTTCAACATTATATGTATCGCATAAAAGAAAATTCATCGTGGCGCCGCGGACAATTTCTGTAAAACCGGCGTGGCATTCAACGTGTGAAAACCGAATCGAAACACCGGCGGAGCTTCGACGCGAAATGAATCGTGCACACGTATGCGGCCCGCGGTGTCCTTGAAGAGGTTACGTATCTATCGCAATTAAACGCAATCTCGGCCGTAAAGGTACACGAACGTTGCATCGACAACTGTTGACCGAAATCGTAATCAGTAAGGACACGGTTCCGCCGACGGCCGCGAGGAAACTGTGGCGAACAAAGGTGGCGGATGCGAATGACTAAGGTTCCTTATCGTTCTACGATAATCGAGAAATGCTTTTAATTGTTTCACCGTACAATTTTATCTGCGCGCGCGCGCGTTTCATCGATAAGGTGGCAGTTTTTTGTGATCGCGATAATCGGCGTTTTGCGATTACGATAATACGACACATCTGTGCGCAAAACGTAATAATCGCGAATTTAACTTCGAGGAAGACGGAAGGAAACAATCGCTTTTCGAACAGTCTTCGCTTGCTCGTATTATCTTATCGTAACAAATGTAAAATTCTCCCACCTTCCGTGACGGCTATAAATATTCTAACGCTGCTCGTAAACCTATCAGTATCGTTTTCTTTCACGGGGTGTCGGTAGCCGTGCTAATAAATTTTTATTGTTATTACTTGTTCCGTCGGGGACTGTTCAAGATATACACAGTGATACACGCGTGTACGGTGAACGTGTCATAAAGATAAAGAACGTTTTATTTTTTTTATCGAAGAGGTGCCACGTATTATTAATCTCGGTGGATTAGTTCGAACGGTAAGACGTAATCGGAAGAAAGCGGTCGAGATGTAAACGAGATGTAAATTCATCGAGTCCAGAATCGTGCGGTTCCAATTAGTATCGGTTAACGCTTCAGCCGGTCCCTCTCGGGGTTAGTTTAACGGTCTCTTCGGAAATATTAACCTTTTAGGTACGGCTGAATTCTGCGCGAGGCTATTTCTCTGGACGGCAGAGTCTGATACTGTATATTCTGTCTGTATATACAGGGTGTCCCAAAAATGTCTCGCAGTCCGAAAGCGGCGGGTTCCTCGGGTCATTTGAAGCAACTTTTTCCTTTACAAAAATGTTCTCCGAGGCAGCGTTAACGAGTTATTAACGAAAAACTGTAACCAATGAGAGGCGAACTCGGCTGGCGCGAGGCGATCGAGCCAATGAGCGGAACTGGGCTTCGCGCGCTGGTTGGCTGGGCCGCCTCGCGTCAGCCGTACTCGATTCTTATTGGTCACTGTTTTTCGTTAATAACTCGTTAACGGTGCCTCGGAGAACATTTTTGTAAAGAAAGAAGTTGCTTCAAATGATCCGAGGAACCAGCCATTTCCGAATTGCGAGACATTTTTGGGACACCCTGTAGACTGTTGTAAATCGATGAGAAGACAAAAGAAGTGTGAAACAATGCATATGAAGACGATTATTTGATTCAAACAATGAGCGAGTGAGCTACTAGAGCAAGCCACTATAGTGGCGCGTCGTTCTGAAAGATGACATCCGCGGAAGCCACTGTAGTGGCGCGTCGGGCCTAAAAGGTTAAAGAAACGAAAGTTTTCGGCTGCTGTTATTTTACGTTATTGCGTCGGAAGATTTTCAAGTTGCGCAATGATCCAGCCGCCGACATTTCGACTCGCGAAGCAACGAATCGTCTCGGGCAATACAACCTTGTGTACTCCTCTTAAGATTACCATTCGAAAGAAGATTATTAAGCCTCTTCTCCAGATCCAGTCGCATTAAAGAGCTTATTAACGGGCTTCCGGCAGCCAGACCGTAAACCGGGGAAGACCGAACGATTTCAACTCCGCGCCGGACATTGGGTGCCCGAAAAATCAATCGGTTCACATGTTGACAAACTTTTTCTTTGCTCTGACCTAGATAGCCGAAAGAAGAAGTCCGTTCAACCTTTCCACCTGTTAATTAGTCGTCGGCATTACCGCGAGAGATCGAAAAGGAAGGAATGGACGCGTTCGAAAATCCCTGTTGAAAAAAAGAAAAAAAACCGTGGTTATAACGAGGCTCTAGACAACATCGTTAAACTCGCCGGAAACGATCGGGAGGGGTTAAAGGCGATGCGTTCGAGCCCCCGTAGCACCCTCTCTGCACCGTCGGAGTTATTTTGTGTCAATGATCAGGCGATTCATGAAAGAGTGGCTGGTCGAGGGCTGTTAATAATTTGTTAGCCGAGTGGAAACGGCTCTAGAGTCTCCGTGGCCGCGTCGATGGCTACGGTCACCCAGTTTGCAGCTCGAAACACGACTCCAGGAAGAGCCTCGTTCTCGCTCGTATTTCCACACACAGTAATTGCCATTTCTTTTTTTTTTTTCACGTGTTCAAATATTCAGCGCCTCGAGTGAAAGTCGTTAGCCTCCTTTGTCGGACATTGTCGCTCGCGATCTTCGATTCTTCGGATCCCACCTGACCATAGAAAATCGCGCGTTTTCTTGTATCGGTTTTCTGAAGAATCACAAGCCTCGTATTTATCGAGACGTCGCACGATTTTATCGTGAAGAAATCATAAAAATCATATCATAATTGTAAAACGAGGAATTCGAAGTTTCGTTTTATTAACGGTATCTTTCTTGCAACAAATCAAAACACCATCTCGGTAGTGCACTTGAGGTACGACGTAGATTATTTTCAAGCTGAAATAATAAAAATACTCGGTGTTGCATTTCTGTCAACGCGATCTTTGTAAAAATTGTTCGATAGACCAATCAGTTCGTTTCCATCGCAAGGGAGAATGAAACGTAACGAGCAAAATAGCCAAGAGATAATGTCCACTTCAAATATAATGCTGGACAAAACAATCGATGATAAAGCAACTTATCAGTTAACACACTGAAAACACTGTTACCGTTCTTTTCTTTCGCAATTAACTTTTTTGCTGCTCTCGATGAAGCTGTTTCAATTCATTACACGCTACAATGCTAACGAGTGAACTCTGTTCAAGAGAGGCTCGATGATTTTCTTTTGAATAATAATTTCAAGAGAACTTGTTACGTTGCATTCATCTAAATAATTTGATGGATTATGGATCAGATTATTCCAGAGATCGAACAATTTTTTTTTCAAGAAATGCTTAGCCGTTGATCTTCGATTTTAAAAGAACCATTATAAAACAGCCGGTCTTCGATTCTTCAGGTATAGACCCAAGAAAATCGCGTTCCTTCCCGTCGATGCTCCATAATTACTTTCGCTCGATCTACATTGAACCGGACAAAAGTTCTTCGGCAAGCAAAGATTCTCGAATCGGTCGATCAAGGGTCTCCCCGATCGTCATCCGCTGATCCGGAACGGGCTGCACAGGGTGCATACCGCGCGAACCGCGCGGAGTCGGCTGAAGTTCCAGCGAAAAGTTCGGATAATTTTCCGCGGAAAGGTCAGCCGTCTTAGGGGAACACGGGTTCGAAAGCGGGGAACGGTAGCGCTCCCGATAGCCTCTCTGGCATTTCGCAGTTGCCTGCAATTACACGGCGACCATCGTTAAAGACGTAAACACGGGTTCTCGCGTAATAAGCCGTGGCTCTCGCAGTTTTTGTGATTGAAACGCCGGTTTAATTTGCAGTCTCGTCGGCGAGGATGATGGCGTGCAACGGTAATTGCTGTATCTGAGCGTCCAGTAAGAAAGAGAGAGGGAGAGAGAGAGAGAGAAAGAGATAGATAGATAGATAGAGAAAGAGAGAAAGAAAGAAAGGTCGCGGAAGACGCACACGTACGTGTTTTTTCGTGATAGATAGAGAGAGATTGAGAGAAAAAGAGAGAAAGAGAGAGAAAAAGAGTGAGACAGACACAGAGGGAACACGATGTTGTCGGCGAGGCGTCGAACGAGATCTGGTCATCGGGCAGCAATCGTGCAAGTTCGTCGTTCCTCTCGATCGTTCAGCTCGTAGGACTTGCCGCGACACAAGGACCTTCGTGGCAAGGGACAGGAGAGGATCGTCCAGCGGGAGCAGCCTTTCTAGAAGGATCGGAGATAATATTTTGGTAACACTTGGCGGACGATTTATCAGCGGGATCATCAGAGGTGGTGGCCGGGGTGTTCGGATCGCTGCGATCCACGTGGATGCCCGCGATCGTAGCGGACACCAAGAGGATATCATAGTTGTTGGTTTTTGAGTCGCTGCACGTTGTGAAACGTCGGTCAAAGTGAAGTGCCCGGGTCTCGGTGAGATGGCCTTCATGATGAAGAAGAAGAAGTACAAATTCTCTGTGGAGGTGGGCCTGGAGGAGCTGACCGCCGTGTCCTTCGTGAACGCCGTGCTGTTCGCAAAGCTCCGGCTCCTCGACGGTGGATCGTTCGTCGATCATTCAACGAGGTAAGCGATCTGCACGCACACACATACACGCATACATGCACACACACACATATCACACACACCTCATTATATGTATTTCGCTTTTCCGTCGCGATTCCGTAGCGAGAAAGCTACGGGACCATGACCACGCTAGTTCTCGATGATTTATGGAACGAGCGAACGCTGGATACAGGAACGCCGAGAAAGTGTGCGAGGCGAATCTTTTAATTCCCCGCTAATAGGGATCGCGTGTCCGCGATGCTCGTTAGAATCGCGTTTATTAAAAGCCTTCGCGTCCGCTTCGATTCCTACGGGACCCTCGATTTCGTGAGAACCAGCGTTTTCTGCGAGCCGCACGGCCATTTTGCGGCTGCGCTTTTCGCTAAACAAATGTACAAGTTCGTAGGCACCCTCTAAAATCGTTGCTGTTGCACGGTAGATTCGGAAATTGTTAACGGACTCGGGCGAGCTTGTGGATTGTTCAGGATCGGCAACAATCGAAGCGCGGTAAAACCTCGGAACATGATCTTCCTGATGATCTGAAATCTGTTTCGGTTAATGAAGAATCTAGTAACGATATTAGAATAATGCAAAAGTCAGTATATCCCTTCCGGTAAACAGAAATTAATTGTTCTACAAATTAGAACCAAATAAGAATGCACTTTTTCCTTCTTCGTTTCTGATTACCACGAAAGAATGCGTTGATCTAAATTGTCCGAAACGTCCATAAATCCGGCAGAAAACGCTGTGGAAACGTCTTGCGAACATGAATTGCGCCAAAATGCGAATATTCTTTCAATTACGTTCCTGTTTAGACCTCTGTGAAAGACTTCTCAGCGAGACTTCTCGTTCATTGTCCGGGATTTTACGTCTCTGAATAAACGCCGGCAGTCTAATTATGTGCTCGTACTTCACCGTGGACGAGGTACAGAATTTTTCCAAGTTCTTCTTCGCTCGTTCTCCCTCCCCCTCCCTCCCCCCTCGGGTTTACGAGCGGACCGTGTATCGTTTCACGAGCAGATAAAATTAAACGGTTATGATCGGCAGCGAGTAACCGCGGCTGATTCTGTTTGCTGTTCGACGCACGGCCGCGGCCGTTCGGTGCCGAATTAAACATTGAACCCGGTTCAAAGAACTTCGTTTCTGGGGAGCGAGTTTATAGAGGATTCGTCTAACGCGCCGGGGCGCGCGCTTACGCGTTCTAGAAAGATTCCGGAATTCGCATCTCAAGTTTCCACTGTTTTACACTCCTCTCGGTCATTGTTGTAAACGCGAAACTATTCACGGACTATTTATAACTCTGTTGAATTTTCAGTCTTATTGCAGAAAGACTCGTACGTCCGAGCTACTCGGACGTTTTCGAACGCTTGGAACCGTAAGAAATGGTTGAAATAGTTAATTAACCGAGGAAACGCAGTTCTATCGGTACAAAAATTAATTCTTTGTTCTCGAAGCTACAGTGAAAGTTTTTTTTTAAACATTTAAACGGGAGCATTCTCGGGCTTTTCAATGGTTACGCTGTATGGAACTCGACAATTTTCTTTTAAATAACGGTTTCAAAATTGCTGAAGCTTTTTAGGCAATTTTTAAGTAACCACCATCTACTGATCTTTGATCTTAAGAGAATTATTACAGAATTATTATTACCGCCGGTAGATAAATTGTTAAGTTTATAACAATGCGTTTAATTATTATTATTATTATTATTATTATTATTATTATTATTATTATTATTGTAAGTACGAAGAGCCCATCTAAATCCAAAACAGCAGCAGTGTAAAAATTGTTTCGCGTTTTCGCGTGACCATTTTTAGCAGTGATTCCAGCGCAAAGGGTTCGGATCGTTGAGTTATTGTCAAGAGATATCCGAAAACCCGGTCCGAGCTCGGACACGTAATTAGTGGCTGTCGGCTCAAAGCTGCGCAACCGCCTTTGTCGAGTGCAGAGAGAGCATTTGTCGTCGAGGAGGAGGCCACGAAACAATTTAATTGATGCCGTTTCCAGTCGAACACAGACGGCAAATAGTTGTCCCGACGGCGAAAGGTCCCTGATCGATAAACGGTTTCGTCGGTTTTCGCGAGAGCAACGCGTTTACGCATTCCGGCCGCGTGCCCGCGCTATAAACGCGCGCGCGCCAGCTGCGGATGCAGATGCATAATTTCGTTGTCTCGGCAATCACCATGGCCCGGACATTCGCTAATATTCTTGGAAGCTGATATCCTCGGAACGCCACCGATCCGCGGTCGAATCCCCATCACGGCGCTTAATAGCTTTCTGGGAGACCGTGGGGGAGGAGGGGGGTGGGTGGTTGGCCATCGTCGTTTCTAGCTCCGAGGTTCTTCCGGGAAATTTCCGGCCGACTGTCCGCAATCGTGCGTCTTTCCCATTGTTTCCCGGAACTCGGGATTTTCCTCCGAGCACGGACGGAGTTTTCTCTGTCCGAGATAATGGCAAGTTCGCCGACGTCACCGCGCTCCCTCGTAATTAACCAGTAATTCGTGGGCGAATCGGGTTTCATCGAATTCGAGTGTTCTTTCTCCGTGACGTCTGTTTTCTTGACATTAGAACAATCAGACTCGGGCGAAACGATGGTTTTCTATACCCGGTTCAACGAGAACCAGCAGGAAATATAAACAGCCTGCGGGCAGGTGACGTGGTCGGACCGGGGCCGAAATGTAATTCAATATTAATGCGATATCGTTAATTGAACGTTATCGATATTATTAACGTAAATAAGGGGAGGCAAATGGAAGTATAAATTCAGGTATGGAAATCTATGTTTCCATATTTACTTTATTTATTTATTACATACAAAATGTATTGATTTATTGATTTATTTATTTATTTATCCGTATGTATAAAATTAAGAAAATTAGTTATGAACGATTTGGTTAATGTGTCGAAATTAATGTTGTCGAAATTTGTGTTTAATAACTTGAACAACGTTGTTTCGGTTTTCAACCGTAACATGTACTAATTACACAATATTGTTACATTAACTGAAACGTTAAGTAATTTAAATTCTGAGAGTTCGAACGTAGAATCAGAATAAATTTCGTACGTACAAATCGATAAATTAATAAATATCGTACTTAATAAATAGATACATTATACGAAAAAAATGTATAGTTTTCCGTGCTTCGTCTCGTACTTTCATTTGCCTGCCCATTCGCATTATTGCATAATAACGTTAACAATATTTGATTAACGACATCACATCAATATCGAATTACATTTTGGTCCTGGTTTCATCGCGTCGCTCGTGTGGGACGATTCTCGTTGAGCCGGGTATAGATTCTTTGTTTTTATAATTCTTCGGACTGTGTACTAATGGAAATAAAACTTGTGCAATACATCGACGAATTGAGTCTTGCTCAAGGCAGAAGGCAATTCGAACTAGTCGCTTTTAGTGCCTGGTATTAATAGTCGGACTCTGCCTTTCCCAGCGGAAAATCAAATTGTTTACGCGATTTATCAACGTCGGAGTCGAGCAAAAGCTTATTTTGTCAGTGATTTAACGTACTTAGACCGTTCGGGAAATAATTCATCGTCGATCGTATTTTATACGGCGCGCGTGCACGTGGCATTAATACGATAAATGCGATATTACTCGATCGTAGATTTTACGCGTTTATGTCGACAATGACTGCATGAAACAGCAAACATTGTTACAGCATTTTTCAATGATCAACATCACCGAAAGAATCGCCCGACTGTCTCGCATACAATTTATCTGCATTCAGAGTTTGTTTGCCATTCATTTACGGAGCATTCATTCAGTCTCCCGAGTTCTAGCTTTTCTCGGTTCCATTATGTTCAATGATAAAATTGATCTTCCGAAGGCAGATTCCTTTACTTCGGAGTTGGTGGCCACTTCTTCTCCGAGTTCAAAGATTAAGCGAATTAAATCGAGCGACTCGAGCAGAAGAACAGTTTCTAAGGTGTCTCGCGCGAGCAAACCGATCGATTAGGCGATCGACGGGGATCGAAGGCGCGTCGCGCATGGATTTCGTAGAGTCGTACCTGTAGCTGACTTCCTGGCATCCGGTCAGGTGTTGCGAGGCAACAGTTGGCTAATCGTTGGATCGTTCGATGACGTACCTTTCCGCGAGCACCAAAGAGAACAATAGTTTACGCGAAACTCGTCGCCGATCGTCGACGTCGTCGATGACGATCAAACAACTCGCCGAACAAATCTGCACAACAGCGCTGCATACGAGCGTCTTTTAAATTGCAACAATCAGTCGTTCAGGGAAAGCCTCGAGACTCGGCAATTTCCGTTTTCTATGCTCGTTTCCAGCAATATCACGTTTCTTGATGTCGCGGAGCACGTCGGATCGTTTCTCTAATGAGGGAAATGCAATATTTTGTGCACTCGAACTATTCTTTGCCAGTCTCAGACCTCGTCGATCTTCGCACAGATTTTCAAAGCTCGCTTTGAAACAGCTAAATTGTTCTCGAACCGATTCACGTCGCATTGGGGATCGCAAATCAGCACCGAAAAACGATAGAAAATACGAAAGGTGCGCGGTATCGATTTTTGGTGAACCCTTTGCACTCGAAGCTATTTTAACTGTAAATATAAAATCATTTTTCTAACTCATAGTATCTCTATTTTATCTAACAAAATGCATTTTATGCACATAAAATTGACTCTTGGGACTCGCACAACAGTTACGCTCTTAACAATTTCTGAAATTCGAACCTTGTTAATATAAAATTTATCTTGAAAACGAGATATAACAAATTTCAGCGGTGCCTCTGAGTCACCACTCGAGGGCAAAGGGTTAAATCTCGCGACCGAACGCGCGAGTCCCGCGAGAATAGCGAATCCGACGCATCCGCGGTCGAATGAACATCAAATCGACCGCCGCGGAACGCGGGAACGGTCGAAACGCGTCGGCCGCGGGTTGCCGAAATGTTGCATCCGTACGTGATCGATGTGACGGATCGATCGCGGTGCTCGATGTACACATACCTCGGCCGTGGTCCTCGTGTTGCTCGCGCGGATCGATAGACAC